AAAAAAAAAAAAAAAAAAAAAAAAAAGTTACATGAGTAATTGTTTATTCACGACCTGAAACACGCAATCGCACAGTTCTCCAAGCCTATTTGTATATGGTCTACTTGAGCAGCCATATTATTTGTCTTTTCCGTTAATAAATAATAATAAATGTAATAATATTAATACTTATAATAATAATAATAATAATAATAATGATAATAATAATATTAAAAGTCTAACGTAACTTTTCTTACCGATTCTGCAGAGCTGAGATCGTCGATGGAACTATTTTTCTTGATCGTGTGCTGTATCGTCTCAGCAAAACTCGGGTCCACCACTAAGACAGTCTGTCCACCGAGTGTAGAAAATTTACAGCCACTCTTCCTCGAGTCAGTCGTCATGCACACTTCATAATTATACCCGTGCGGCAGAGTTCCAGTGACTCCTGTGTCTGCGTAATGCGGTGGATAGTACGGAATAACAGGCAGATTGGACTGATACAAGAAGCGAGATTGTCTCCATCTGTAGATCTTTACTGATATTATGACAACCACACAAGTGATAAATAAGAAAGAAACAGCAGCCAGTGCGAGAACTAAATAAAAGGTCAGGTTCTCGTCATACTGTTTTTCATGCGTAAAGTCTGTGAACTCGGACAACACTTCAGGAAAGCTGTCAGCCACAGCCACGTTAATGGAGACCACAGCTGAGCGAGAGGGCTGTCCGTTATCCTCCACAACAACAGTCAGTTTTTGTTTGACCGCATCTTTATCAGTCACTTGTCGCACAGTTCGTATTTCTCCATTCTGTAAACCCACACCAAACAGCGCTCTGTCTGTAGCTTTCTGTAGTTTATAGGAGAGCCAGGCATTCTGTCCAGAGTCCACATCAACAGCCACCACTTTAGTGACCAGATATCCAACATCTGCAGCACGAGGCACAATCTCAGCCACAATAAAAGCACCAGTCTGTACTGGATACAGAACCTGAGGAGCGTTGTCATTCTGATCTTGAATAATTATTTTCACTGTCGCGTTACTGCTGAGCGGAGGAGAGCCTCCATCTTGTGCTTTTACCCGGAAGTGGAAATCTTTGAGTTGTTCATAGTCGAAAGAGCGCACAGCTGTAATCAGTCCGCTGTCAGGATGAACTGACACGTATGATGAGACAGAGACTCCATTAACAGTGCTGTCTTCTAGAATATAAGAAACACGGGCATTCTGATTCCAATCAGCATCACTGGCTTTAACTGTAAATATAGAGAGACCAGGTGTGTTATTCTCCAGTACACACGACTCATAGAGACTTTTCTCAAAGACAGGAGCATTGTCATTCACATCTGATATCTGCACACGGAGAGAGACACTGCTGGAGAGCGATGGCACTCCATCATCAGGACATATTACACTGATATTGTACTCAGCTTTTCTCTCCCTATCCAAATCCTGCTCTGTTTGCAAGCTGAAGAAGCTACTAGACTGAGATGTTATGGCAAAGGGAATGTTCTCATTTATGACACACTGAACCTGACCATTTACACCTGAATCAATGTCATCAACATTTAGTATTGCAACAACAGTACCAGACTTAGAGCCTTCAGGTATGGAACGGGAACTAGACAGAATCTGAATACTAGGCGAATTATCATTAATGTCAAGCACATCGATAATTACTTTGCATGCGTTAGAAAGCCCTCCTTGATCTTTTGCCTGAATATTAAGTTCATAATGGCTCCCCTTTTCATAGTCAACCTGGCCGTTTAATATTAGTTCACCAGTTTGCTCTTTAACAAGAAACATGTCGAACACATTACTGTCCATTGTGTCAGATATGTGGTACGTCACTACACTGTTGGATCCTTCATCTGCATCAGACGCGCTCACCATTGTTAATATAGTACCTTTTGGTGCGTTTTCTGATATTGTGGTTTTATATACCTTTTGCATAAAAACAGGAGCATTATCATTATTATCTAACACAATGATGTGTATCTGTACAGTGCCAGAGAGCACCGGATCGCCTCCATCAAACGCTTCTAACAACAAAGTAAATGAGCTTTGTGTTTCTCTATCAAGTGGCCTTTGTAAAATCATTTCGACGTTTTTACTACCATCTGCCTGATTGTGCAATTCAAGCCGGAATTGATCACTCGGTTTAAGCGAGTAGCTCTGTAGAGCATTTGTTCCCACATCCGGATCGAAAGCTCTGCCGAGCATAAAACCAGCACCTGCCGCCGCCGATTCGCTGATCTCAAATCTGAAGTCCTTTCTCAGGAAACTGGGAGCGTTATCATTTATATCCGTGATTTCTATTGTAATCGTGTATAATTCCATCGGGTTTTCCAAAATCATTTGAAGATGCACCGCACACGGAGTTGTTTTTGCACAAAGAGATTCGCGATCCATTTTCTCTCTGATAAGCAGCAATCCAGTGTTTCTGTTCAGTTCGATGTATTCCGTGCTGTCTCTGGTAAATATTCGCGCTTTTCCTGACTTTAATCGTTGTAAATCCAAGCCCAAATCCTGCGCAATATTTCCTACCGTCGATCCTTTTGTCATTTCTTCTGGGATGGAGTAACTGACCTGTCCTCGAGCAATTTGAATCAGAAGAGTCAAAAAAAGCACCGAATGCCGTGCCATTTCTTCAGGGCCAGGCATTGTCTCAGCTCCACATACGCTTTAAAAATACAACACAGTCCGTATCCTCTAAATATATGGTATTCCAAATGCAGACATTAACTCCGTAAACGACGACGAGCGTTCAATAGAAGTGTCGTGTAGGAAAATAATTTAATGTGACCGCTGTATTGTCTTTTTCTCCGTGAAATTGTGTGATACTGGGAAAGGGTCTATGAAATAAACGGTATCGCCGCTGTGTGTCGATGAACAGCGGCCCTCTGAGTGTAAATAAGGAATTGCATCTCAAAGTTATACATACAAACGCTTTTTATCAACGAATATTAGTTTCTAGGCTTATATGACACTGCAAATAAAACCAGTTATTATTATATGATCATTGTCATACTATCTGTGTTCCAGGATAATTTCCTGATTAAATGAAAGACTAATAAGCAGGTTGGATGTGAAAATAATCACTCACGGAATAAGTGATTTTGTAGGTGACAATTAGATTTTGAGTAAAATTATAAGTACAGCACAATGAAGAAGACCATAGCCCTCTTTAGTAGTAGACGTTCATCCAGCCAGGCGCTGTTCAGCGCAAGTGGTGCTGAACGGTGTCAATGTGCCCTAGTGTTTTCATGATTATTTAATGATAATTGTAAATTTTTCCAATGATTCGTTTTAACAACTGTTAACATGTTGTCTACAAGTAGACCTGCATCAAAAATATCACACTGTAGTTTATTTATTATTTCCCCCTACATTTAAGACAATGCATAATATTCAGATCTTTGTTCACAACCAAAACATTCTAAATAATGAGTACATAGAAAAAGATCCACTCTCTCCTGGCATACATTTAGGTAGGAATCAGAAAACAATTCCATCAATTTACAGGAATAAAATGAGTAGTTAAACTCTGTCTAATCTCGATATTTCAGAAAGTTAAGGCTTTATATAATAAGTACAGTCATTCGTACTCGAGTCAGTTGCCATGCACACCAAAACAATTATGCACAAGTTTTCCAGTCCCTTTTCAAACAAACATATAGCTATAACAGCACCCATGGCAATTGTACAACCTTCTAGTCTATTGTTTTATACAGTCCCAGATAACTGAATCCAGCAGTAAGCAACACAGCAAGCAATAAATACAAAGAAATATGCATCCAACATATGGAAACTTTTGGTGAAGTACGAGATATTGGTATTAGAATAAGGAAAAACCAACACAGTATTGAGTCAATCCGTAGTTTGTTTATTTATTTATTTGTTTAGCTAATAGGTAGCAAATCCGTATGAATTCTAACGATCGCATTTGTAAGTTTTCATTTCTGCTGACATCCCACTTGTGTTAAGTTTAGGGATGCAGCTTTTATTTATTTATGTATGTATGTATGTATGTATGTATGTATGTATGTATGTATGTATGTATGTATGTATGTATGTATTTATTTATTTATTTATTTTTGTTGTTGTTTTTATTTACACCATAGGGGGGGAAACAATTTTGTGCATCTAAGCTGAGCATGTTATAAATATAACAAGTATTAGTTATTAGATAAAGCTGAATGATATTAACATTTAGACTTCCAATTAATTTCAGAGTCCTTACAAGTGTTTTTATATATTTGTGTGTTTATAGTCAACTTGATTATAAACACACAAATATATAAAAACACTTGTAAGGACTATACACACACAAATATATAAAAACACTTGTAAGGACTCTGAAATTAATTGGAAGTCTAAATGTTAATATCATTCAGCTTTATCTATTAACATTTAGACTTCCAATTAATTTCAGAGTCCTTACAAGTGTTTTTATATATTTGTGTGTTTATAGTCAACTTGATTAGCCCTACAATACCTTATTCAGTTAAAAATAAATAAAGAATAATTGTTCCAAAACTTTCTTACCGATTCTGTAGACTGCAGATCGTTGATAGAACTGGAAGTCTAAATGTTAATATCATTCAGCTTTATCTATTAACATTTAGACTTCCAATTAATTTCAGAGTCCTTACAAGTGTTTTTATATATTTGTGTGTTTATAGTCAACTTGATTAGCCCTACAATACCTTATTCAGTTAAAAATAAATAAAGAATAATTGTTCCAAAACTTTCTTACCGATTCTGTAGACTGCAGATCGTTGATAGAACTATTTTTCTTGATTGTGTGACTCATAGTTTCAGAAAAACTCGGGTCCATCACTAAGACGTTCTTCCCACCGAGTGTAGAAAACTTACAGCCACTCTTCCTCGAGTCAGTCGTCATGCACACTTCATAATTATACCCGTGCGGCAGAGTTCCAGTGACTCCTGTGTCTGCGTAATGCGGTGGATAGTACGGAATAACAGGCAGATTGGACTGATATAAGAAGCGAGATTGTCTCCATCTGTAGATCTTTACTGATATTATCACAACCACACATGTGATAAATAAGAAAGAAACAGCAGTCAGTGCGAGAACTAAATAAAAGGTCAGGTTCTCGTCATACTGTTTTTCAAGCGTAAAGTCTGTGAACTCTGACAGCCCTTCAGGAAAGCTGTCAGCCACAGCCACGTTAATGGAGACCACAGCTGAGCGAGAGGGCTGTCCGTTATCCTCCACAACAACAGTCAGTTTTTGTTTGATCGCATCTTTATCAGTCACTTGTCGCACAGTTCTTATTTCTCCATTCTGTAAACCCACTACAAACAATGCTCTGTCTGTAACTTTCTGTAGTTTATATGAGAGCCAGGCATTCTGTCCAGAGTCCACATCAACAGCCACCACTTTAGTGACCAGATATCCAACATCTGCAACACGAGGCACAATCTCAGCCACCACGGAAGCACCAGTCTGTACTGGAAACAGAACCTGAGGAGCGTTGTCGTTCTCATCTTGAATAATTATTTTCACTGTCGCGTTACTGCTGAGCGGAGGAGAGCCTCCATCTTGTGCTTTTACTAGGAAGTGGAAATCTTTGAGTTGTTCATAGTCAAAAGAGCGCACAGCTGTAATCAGTCCGCTGTCAGGATGAACTGACACGTATGATGAGACAGAGACTCCATTAACAGTGCTGTCTTCTAGAATATAAGAAACACGGGCATTCTGATTCCAATCAGCATCACTGGCTTTAACTGTAAATATAGAGAGACCAGGTGTGTTATTCTCCAGCACACACGCCTCATAGTGACTTTTCTCAAAGACAGGAGCATTGTCATTAACATCTGATATCTGCACACGGAGAGAGATACTGCTGGAGAGCGATGGCACTCCATCATCAGCACATATTACACTGATATTGTACTCAGATTCTCTTTCTCTGTCCAAATCCTGCTCTGTTTGCAAGCTGAAGAAGCTACTAGACTGAGATGTTATGGCAAAGGGAATATTCTCATTTATGAGACACTGAACCTGGCCATTTACACCTGAATCAAGATCATCAACATTTAGCATTGCAACAACAGTACCAGACTTAGAGCCTTCAGGTATGGAATGGGAACTAGACAGAATCTGAATACTAGGCGAATTATCATTAATGTCCAGAACGTCGATAAATACTTTGCATGCGTTAGAAAGCGATCCTTGATCTTTTGCCTGAATATTAAGTTCATAATGGCTCACCTTTTCATAGTCAACCTGTCCGTTTAATATTAGTTCACCATCTTTTGCATTAATTAGAAACATGTTGGCCATATTTTTGTTCATTGTGTCGGAAATGTGGTACGTCACTACACTGTTAGATCCTTCATCTGCATCAGACGCGCTCACCATTGTTAATATAGTACCTTTTGGTGCGTTTTCTGTTATGGTAGTTTTATATATTTTTTGTGTAAAGACAGGAGCATTATCATTAATATCTAACACAGAGATGTGTATCTGTACAGTGCCGGAGAGCACCGGATCGCCTCCATCAAACGCTTCTAACAACAAAGTAAGTGAGCGTTGAGTTTCTCTATCAAGTGGTCTTTGTAAAATCATCTCAACGTTTTTACTACCGTCTGCCTGATTGTGCAGTTCAAGGCGGAATTGATCACTCGGTTTAAGCGAGTAATTCTGAAGATCATTTGTTCCTACATCCGGATCGAAAGCTCCCCCGAGCATAAAACCAGCACCTGCCGCCGCCGATTCGCTGATCTCAAATCTAAAGTCCCTTTTCTCGAAACTGGGAACGTTATCATTTATATCCGTGATTTCAATTGTAATCGTGTATAATTCCATCGGGTTGTCCAAAATCATTTGAAGATGCAACGCACACGGAGTTGTTTTTGCACAAAGAGATTCGCGATCCATTTTCTCTCTGATAAGCAGCGATCCAGTGCTTCTGTTCAATTCGATGTATTCCGTGCTGTCTCTGGTAAATATTCGCGCTTTTCCTGACTTTAGTCGTTGTAAATCTAAGCCCAAATCCTGCGCAATATTTCCCACTTTCGATCCTTTTGACATTTCTTCAGGAATGGAGTAACTGACTTGTCCTTCCGCTATGTGAATCAGAAGAGTAAAAAACAGCACCGAATGCCTTATCATTGCATCGGGGCCAGGCATTGTCTCAACTGCACAGACGCCTAAAAAAATACAAAACAAACAATCCTTGTATCCTTGTAATATATGAAATTCCAAGTGCAGTCATAAACTACGGACACGACGACGTGCGATCAAATAGAAGTATCGTGTAAAAAAACGAGGTGGCAGCTGTATTGCCTTTTTCTCCGTGATATTGTGTTATACGGGGGGAGGGTCTGTGAAATACAGTTTCTACACTGTTTGAACGACGAACAGCGGCCCTCTGAGTGTAAATAAGGAACTGCATATCAAAGTTATATCCGTATACATATAGCGCATTTTATCAACGAATATTATTCTCTAGGCCTACATATCACACTGCAAAATAAACAAGTTATTATTATATGGATGTCATACTGTCTGTATTCTAAAACATTTTGCTGATTAAATAAAAACATTACTATGCATGTTGGATGTGAAAACTATCACTTACCAAATAAGTTAATTTAGCAGGTAACAGATTTTAGGTTAAATTACAACACAATGAAGAAAACAATAGTCCTCTTTAGTAGCGCTTTATCCAGCCAGGCGCTGTTCAGTACAAGTGGTGCTGAACGGTGTCAAAGTGCCCTTGCGTTTTTGATCATTTCATAGTTATTCAGCATTTTTCGATAATTAGCTTGAACAAGAGTTAAACTGTTTTCTACGTGTAGATCTACATGAAAAATATCACACCGTTTTTTTCCTTCCATTTAAGGCAATGCATAATATCAGTCGGATCTTCGCCCACGACCAAAACATTCTAAAGAATGAGTACATAGAAAATCATAGTCCCTCTCTCTTGACATACACTTAACTAAGACTCTGACAACAATTCCCGCAATTAAATTTACAGGAATACATTTTGTGAACTCCGTCTAATCTCTGTATTCCACACACTTAACGCTGTTTATAATAAGTACTGTACAGTCATCGTCCTTGAGTCAGTTGTCATGCACAACAAGACAATGTATGCACTACTTTTCAAGTCCCTTTTCAAACAAGCATATGAATATAACACCACCCATGGCAGCTATACAGCATTCTAGTCTATTGTTCGATAGGCTACAGTCTCAGATATATCCAGCACTGAAAGGAGCATGGCAAGTCTGTGACAATTTTACGTTTTCGAAAATATGTATAAATTCTTACAATCTCATTCGTACTTTTTCGTTTTTCTGCTCACGTCCCACTGAGATTTATGTTTATAGGTGTTGGCATTAGGATAGTAAGAAAGTAAGTTTTGTTTTGTTTCACACCGTAGATGAAACGAGTTAGTGCTCATGTAAATATTAATCATATTAATGCACTTGGAAGGTGAACAGAGTATATAGATTATATAGAGTATTAGTTAAGAGACAAAGCGGAATGATATAGGTAGACATGGTCTGATAGCTATTGCAATGTTCTGATCTTGTGTTCTAGGAAAAAAATATGTTCATGGTCTACTTGATTCGCCTTATATTAAATTTGATCAGTTAAAAATAAACAAATAAAAATAATAGTCCCAAAACTTTCTTACCGATTCTGTAGACCGGAGATCGTCGATAGAACTATTTTTCTTGATTGTGTGACTCATAGTTTCAGCGAAACTCGGGTCCACCACTAAGACATTCTGTCCACCGAGTGTAGAAAACTTACAGTCACTCTTCCTCGAGTCAGTCGTCATGCACACTTCATAATTATGCCCGTGCGGCAGAGTTCCAGTGACTCCTGTGTCTGCGTAATGCGGTGGATAGTACGGAATAACAGGCAGATTGGACTGATATAAGAAGCGAGATTGTCTCCATCTGTAGATCTTTACTGATATTATGACAACTACACATATGATAAATAAGAAAGAAACAGCAGCCAGTGCAAGAACTAAATAAAAGGTCAGGTTTTTGTCATACTGTTTTTCATGCGTAAAGTCTGTGAACTCTGACAGCACTTCAGGAAAGCTGTCAGCCACAGCCACATTAATGGAGACCACAGCTGAGCGAGAGAGCTGTCCGTTATCCTCCACAACAACCGTCAGTTTTTGTTTGACAGCATCTTTATCAGTCACTTGTCGCACAGTTCTTATTTCTCCATTCTGTAAACCCACTTCAAACAGCGCTCTGTCTGTAGCTTTCTGTAGTTTATAGGAGAGCCAGGCATTCTGTCCAGAGTCCACATCAACAGCCACCACTTTAGTGACCAGATATCCAACATCTGCAGCACGAGGCACAATCTCAGCCACCACGGAAGCACCAGTCTGTACTGGAAACAGAACCTGAGGAGCGTTGTCGTTCTCATCTTGAATAATTATTTTCACTGTCGCGTTACTGCTGAGCGGAGGAGAGCCTCCATCTTGTGCTTTTACACATCTGATATCTGCACACGGAGAGAGACACTGCTGGAGAGCGCTGGAACTCCCTCATCAATACATATTACACTGATATTGTACTCAGCTTCTCTCTCTCTATCCAGGTTCTGCTCTGTTTGCAAGCTGAAGAAACTGCTGGAAGACGCAATAGCAAATGGAATATTATCATTAATGTAGCAGTGAACCTGGCCATTCAACCCGGAGTCAAGATCATTTACATTTAGCATTGCAACAACAGTGCTAGGTCTAGACTGCTCTGATATTGAGTTTGACATAGATACAGTACTTATTGCTGGTTTGTTATCGTTTATATCAGTGAGATCAATTATAACTTTACATGAATCAGACAGTCCTCCTTGGTCGCGTGCTTGTATGTTAAGTTGATAACGACTTGCCTTTTCAAAGTCAGCTGAGCCTTTTAAGATTATTTTCCCGCTTCGTGCATCAACCATGAATAAATCATTTGCATCTCCAGTGCTTGACATGTAGTAAGTTATAATCGCATTCGAGCCTTCATCAGCATCAGAAGCGCTGACGGACGTGATAACAGTGTCTTTAGGTGTATTTTCAGGAAGAGTAGCTTTGTACACTCTTTCATTGAACACAGGAGGATTGTCGTTAATATCTAGCACAGTTACATGTATCCGTACAGTGCTGGTCAGCTGAGGCTCACCTCCATCTACTGCTGTTAACAACAAGGACAACTGCTCTTTGTTTTCACGGTCTAGAGCCTTTTGTAACACCATCTCCATGTTTCTGTCGCCATCCGTTTGGCTTTGCAAACTTAATACAAATTGATCTGTCGGTTTCAGTGAATAACTCAGATGACTATTAGATCCGACATCCAGATCAATCGCATTTTCCAACATGAATCTTGCTCCGATTACAGCAGACTCGCTTATTTCAAATGTAATCTCACCTTTAGGAAAACTCGGAGCATTATCATTTATGTCGATGATTTCAACTGCGACATCATACCATTCCATTGGATTTTCCAAAATCAGCTGAAGGTGTAAAGCGCATGGAGTCGTTTTAGCACAAAGAGCCTCGCGGTCTATTTTCTCCTCGGTGAGAAGTATCCCCCTCTCTTTATTCAATCCGACGAATTCGGTGTTGTCTCCAGCAAATATGCGCGCCTTCCCTGACTTCAGTCTTTTTAAATCCAAACCCAAGCCTTGAGAAATATTTCCAACGATCGACCCTTTTGGCATTTCTTCTGGAATGGAATAGCTGATCTGCCCTCTCACCGAGTATCGAAACAGGATCATAAAAAACGCTGCAGCGTGCCACATTACAAAGCTGGCCATTTTCCGCCGTTCTTTAGATCCTTAAGATCAGACGGTTTTATTACAAAATAAGGACGTTACACACGAAAGCCCGACCACAATATGAAATCTACAATAAGATCAGGATATCCATCTACAGTACGTCCGACAAAATATTTGTTTCGCGTTATCAGGCTTTATTACGCTTCTCTCTGACATCACTGGATTTTGTGGGTAGGTCTGACAGACGGACTGCGTTGTGTTGTGTTGATCAGCAGCGGCCCTGCGAGCCTTAACTAAGAATTGCAATAGTTTGTTTCGGACATATCAGAGCAGTAAATGACTTGTATATTATTCGTAAATTGTAAGTCAATTTGATAATGCTACAAAAGTACACACACACACACACACACACACACACTTTATATATATATATATATATTTATTTATTTATTTATACTTAAAGTATATATAATTATATTATAAAGTATAAACAAACAAACAAATAAATAAAGCAAGGATTGGAAAGTGAAGCTCTGCTTTTACTGAACTCCAAAGAAGGTAAAAAAAAAACTAATTACCGGTATTACTATTTGGCGCTGTCCAGTAAGTGGTTCTGAAACGTTGTTGCAGTATCACAAAATTACCACAAAAGTAAAATAATAATAATAATAAAATATGCCACGAAATACATAATCACAGAACACAGAGAATACAAGCAATTTTTAAGAAAAGTCTTACCGATTCTGTAAGACTGCTTTCTTCCGTAAAGGTTTTTTCCTTCATTGCGCGCTGCATCGTCTCAGTGAAACTCGGGTCCACGACTAAAACATTCTGCCCAACGAGTGTAGAAAACTTACAGTCACTCTTCCTCGAGTCATTCGTCATGCACACTTCATAATTATACCCGTGCGGCAGAGTTCCAGTGACTCCTGTGTCTGCGTAATGCGGTGGATAGTACGGAATAACAGGCAGATTGGACTGATATAAGAAGCGAGATTGTCTCCATCTGTAGATCTTTACTGATATTATGACAACCACACATGTGATAAATAAGAAAGAAACAGCAGCCAATGCAAGAACTAAATAAAAAGTCAGGTAGTCGTCAAATTGTTTTTCATGCGTAAAGTCTGTGAACTCTGACAGCACTTCAGGAAAGCTGTCAGCTACAGCCACGTTAATGGAGACCACAGATGAGCGAGAGGGCTGTCCGTTATCCTCCACAACAACAGTCAGTTTTTGTTTGACCGCATCTTTATCAGTCACTTGTCGCACAGTTCTTACTTCTCCATTCTGTAAACCCACACCAAACAGCGCTCTGTCTGTAGCTTTTTGTAGTTTATAGGAGAGCCAGGCATTCTGTCCAGAGTCCACATCAACAGCCACCACTTTAGTGACCAGATATCCAACATCTGCAGCACGAGGCACAATCTCAGCCACCACAGAAGCACCAGTCTTTACTGGATACAGAACCTGGGGAGCGTTGTCATTCTCATCTTGGATTATAATGTCCAAAGTCACATTAGTGCTGAGGGGCGGAGAGCCTCCATCTTGCGCTTTCACACAAACACGAACACTTTTCATTTGCTCGTAGTCAAAACCGCGCAGTGCGTGAACCACTCCACTGTCAGCATTTACTGATATAAAAGAGGAAACAGGGGATCCACCCACTGTAGTCTCATCTAGAAGATACGAAATACGAGCGTTCTGGTTCCAGTCATCATCTTGAGCACTCAGAGTAAATATGGACAAACCAGGTTGATTGTTTTCAGTAACATATGTAGTGTAAACAGTCTTTTGAAACCTGGGAGGACTGTCATTAACATCTGATACTTTCAAAATTAAAGTTTTCTTACTAGAAAGCGCAGGCAACCCCGAATCTGCAGCTGTGATAGTGATATTATATTCTGCCACACGTTCACGATCTAAAGCAGCATCAGTGACTAAAGTGTAATAATTCCGCAGTGAGGACTGTAGTTTAAATGGAGTATTTCGATCTACTGTACAGACAACGTGACCATTGTCTCCTGCATCTACGTCCTTGACACTGAAAATAGCGATAGTGGTGCCAGGAGGTGCATCCTCACTCACTGGGGTAAAAAATGACATAACACTGATTGTTGGCGCATTGTCATTTACATCAATTAAATCAACTAGGACTTTAGCAGAATTTCCTAAACCACCCTGATCTTTGGCCTCGACGCCAAATTCATATTTCTTTGCTTTTTCATAATCAAGTACACCATTTAACGTAATAATACCTGTTTTTTCATCAATTTTAAAAATGTCGTTTATATTTCCTTTAAAATTAGCAAAACTAAATGCAATCAAACTGTTTGTCCCACTGTCTGCATCACTAGCATTCACTGTTGTAATGTGAGTTCCTTTAGCTGAATTTTCTGCTATTGTTGTTCTGTAAACAGACTGGTTAAATACTGGTGCGTTGTCATTTGCATCTAGTACATTCACCTCTATTTTCATATAACCAGATCTCTGAGGGTTTCCTCCGTCTACCGCCGTGAGCATGAGAGATAGTCGTGGATGCTGCTCTCTGTCTAGAGGCTTCTGAAGCACCATTTCAGCATATTTAACTCCATCGGGGCTCGAGTGTTGTTTCAAAATAAAATAATCATTACCTGACATAATATAATTTTGGAGAGCATTCATATCTACATCAGGATCATCTGCGCTTCCCAGTAAAAAAAGAGCTCCAGGTGCGGCCGATTCACTTATTTCAAGATGAATTTCATCTTTACGAAATGTTGGCGAATGATCGTTTACATCGAGTATTTCCACCGTGACATGATGTAGTTCCACTGGATTATCAAGTATTATTTCAAATGTGAAGCTGCACGGAGTGGTTTCAGCGCAAAGCTGCTCTCGGTCAATTCTCTCCTTTACAACCAAAATCCCTTTGTCTGATTTCATCTCTACGTACTGAGTGCTGTCGCCAGACACGATACGAGCCCGACCCGAGCGCAGCCTTTGAACATCCAGACCAAGATCATGAGCTATATTTCCAATCAGCGACCCTTTCTTCATTTCCTCTGGAACGGAATAACGAATCTGTCCATTTACGTTTGAGCTCGAACAAGCAGCCATGATGAATAAGACCCTCCATAAGAAAACGCGATCCAATGCCTGCATTCGCCTTTGATAAAGAAGCCTTGCACTTAATATAATAATTTCCATTTTAAGCATCCCAATTACACAGCGGATGTTGTTCAATAGCAAAAATGATCACACAGTAATTTTGTTCATATGCTGTTTGTCAGAAACTCTCTTCTTCATCGACGCACTTTGGTCTCCGTCGCAATAGTCTTGTCTGTATTATCAAAGCTTCACCAACCACAGCCAGTGACAAATCAAGAGTAAGTGTTCATATAGCCTACATTTTTGTTAACCAACAGCGGCCCATAGAGTTGATAAAAATGAACAACATTTGTAAATGCTCAAAAATAGTTCAACCCTGAAGCGCAAGTCTGTGCATTGACTTCAATAACTCAAAGAAAAAAAAGAGAAAAAAAACCAGACCAAATCCATGAATCATCCAGGCTGGATCTTGCCAAATAATCCTGCCAAATTGCTAAAAATGCGAAACAAAAATATATAAAAATAAATAAATAAAAATCCCTGTTTTTAATACTAAAAATATATATTTTTTTCACCCTCAGACGTCTTGTTTTCCCGTCAGACCTCAACAAAACAATTAAAATTAACGTCTTGTAAGCTTACTATAACATAAATATTTCATTTAAAATAAAATGTATTATATTATATTATATTAAAATTGTATTTTAGATGGTCTTACCATTTCAGGCGATTCTGCATCTTCTAAGAGGTTTTTTTCCTTCATTGCGCGCTGCATCGTCTCAGTGAAACTCGGGTCCACCACTAAGACATTCTGTCCACCGAGTGTAGAAAACTTACAGTCACTCTTCCTCGAGTCAGTCGTCATGCACACTTCATAATTATCCGCGCAGTGCGTGAACCACTCCACTGTCAGCATTTACTGATATAAAAGAGGAAACAGGGGATCCACCCACTGTAGTCTCATCTAGAAGATACGAAATACGAGCGTTCTGGTTCCAGTCATCATCTTGAGCACTCAGAGTAAATATGGACAAACCAGGTTGATTGTTTTCAGTAACATATGTAGTGTAAACAGTCTTTTGAAACCTGGGAGGACTGTCATTAACATCTGATACTTTCAAAATTAAAGTTGTCTTACTAGAAAGCGCAGGCAACCCCGAATCTGCAGCTGTGATAGTGATATTATATTCTGCCACACGTTCACGATCTAAAGCAGCATCAGTGACTAAAGTGTAATAATTCCGCAGTGAGGACTGTAGTTTAAATGGAGTATTTCGATCTACTGTACAGACAACGTGACCATTGTCTCCTGCATCTACATCCTTCACACTGACAATGGCAATAGTTGTTCCAACAGTTGCGTCTTCAGAAACAGGGCTCGAAAATGACATAACACTAATAACTGGTGCATTATCATTGACATCAATTAAGTCGACTATGACTTTTGCAGAGTTTCCCAAACCGCCTTGATCTTTTGCTTCGATGTCAATTTCGTATTTCCTTGCTTTTTCATAATCAAGTACCCCACTTAGTGTTATAGCGCCAGTTTTATCGTCGATTTTAAAAATGCCGTTTATGTTCCCTTTAAAATTAGCAAAACTGTATGAAATCAAACTATTTGTGCCACTGTCTGCATCACTAGCATTAACAGTTGTAATATAAGTTCCTTTAGATGAATTCTCTTCTACTGTTGCCCTGTAAACTGATTGGTTGAATACTGGTGCGTTGTCATTTGCATCTAGTACATTCACCTCTATTTTCATATTACCAGATCTCTGAGGGTTTCCTCCGTCTACCGCCGTGAGAATGAGAGATAGTCGTGGATGCTGCTCTCTGTCTAGGGGTTTCTGAAGCACCATTTCAGCATATTTTATTCCACCGGGACGTGCGTGTTGTTTCAGAATAAAATAATAATTAGGTGACATCATATAATTTTGTAGTGCGTTTAGACCTACATCAAGATCTTCTGCGCCTCCCAGTAAAAAAATAGCCCCAGGCGTGGCTGATTCACTTATTTCAAGGTTAATTTCGTCTTTAGGAAATCTTGGCGAGTGATCGTTTACATCCAGTATTTCTACCGTAACATGATGTAGTTCCATTGGATTATCAAGTATTATTTCAAATGTGAAGCTGCACGGAGTGGTTTCAGCGCAAAGCTGCTCTCGGTCAATCCTTTCTTTTACAACCAAAATCCCTTTGTCTGATTTCAGCTCTACGTACTCAGTGCTGTCGCCAGACACGATACGAGCCCGACCCGAGCGCAGCCTTTGAACATCCAGACCAAGATCATGAGCTATATTTCCAATCAGCGACCCTTTCTTCATTTCCTCTGGAACGGAGTAACGAATCTGTGCGTTTATGTTTGAGATCGAACAAGCAGCCATGATGAACAAGACCCTCCATAAGAAAACGCGATCCAGTGGCTGTCCTCGCGATTTGTAACAATGAATCCTTCTACATGCTCTAATCACAAACATTTTTATACGTGAAGCATTCAAATTACAAACTTTAGATGATGTTCCTTATTCAAAATATCCACAAATACATCTAGTTTGTTTGCTATTAGCCAGTGACTGTCTCCCTTCATCGACTCTCTTTAGTCTCCTCCCCAATCTCCTACCAGCATCAGCACAGCTCCACCAACCACAGGCGATCACATACATGCGTTTCTACAAATCAACAGCGGCCCTTAGAGCTGAGAACGAGAAACAACAATAACAGAAGCTTTGAAATGTCTTAGAACTAGAGTTAAATTCAGTCAATAGACCTCAACAATAACAAAAATGAACAATATTGAACATCTATATATCAAATAACACTCCAAAGTTCTCTTAAATTTTAATTTAACTGTACATTGCACAACTTAAATATTAGAAAACAAACATGATTCCTTTGTTAGTTAAAAAAAATTCTAAATCAGTTTAAAGTAAGGTATTATGTAAGAGTGAATTAATGCAGTGCGACAGATCACCCCTTTTACAGACAGAACAGATTTTAAATCGAATCACGATTTTAAGGTTACACTTCACGTTAAGACTAAATTCCTTAACATTAATTAATGCTTTACTCATCATGAACTAAAAACGATTAACATTTTATAGCGTTTATTGTAATATTTTAATGGAATCACATATACTAACATTGTTTCTTAATTTTATGAATAAACTATTATGAAAAAAAAGTGATTTAATACTGAACAATAATATAATTACATACTAACATTTAATAAATGCTGTAAAAATGTAATTGTTAGTTCATGCTGAGTAAAGCATTAACTTGTGTTAATGAACAAAACCTTACTGTATACTAATTTCGTAGTGCAAATGGTTTTCCGATATTACAAAGTAAAATTTATTGAATGTAATGTTAATATCACAAAGACTTTATATTATTTTATTTTATTTCATATTTAATTTAATTTTTAAATAACAGGTGATCTTACCATTTCAGTACACTCGCCGGAATCTTCTAAGAATTTATTTTCCTTCATTGCTCGCTGCATTGTCTCAGCAAAACGTGGGTCCACCATTAAAACATTTTGTCCAACGAGTGTAGAAAACTTACAGTCACTCTTCCTCGAGTCAGTCGTCATGCACACTTCATAATTATACCCGTGCGGCAGAGTTCCAGTGACTCCTGTGTCTGCGTAATGCGGTGGATAGTACGGAATAACAGGCAGATTGGATTGATATAAGAAGCGAGATTGCCGCCATCTGTAGATCTTTACTGATACTATCACAACCACACATGTGATAAACAGGAAAGAAACAGCAGCCAATGCAAGAACTAAATAAATGGTCAAGTTCTCGTCAAATTGTTTTTCATGCGTAAAGTCTGTGAACTCTGACAGCACTTCAGGAAAGCTGTCAGCCACAGCCACGTTAATGGAGACCACAGATGAGCGAGAGGGCTGTCCGTTATCCTCCACAACAACCGTCAGTTTTTGTTTGACAGCATCTTTATCAGTCACTTGTCGCACAGTTCTTACTTCTCCATTCTGTAAACCCACACCAAACAGCGCTCTGTCTGTAGCTTTTTGTAGTTTATAGGAGAGCCAGGCATTCTGTCCAGAGTCCACATCAACAGCCACCACTTTAGTGACCAGATATCCAACATCTGCAGCACGAGGCACAATCTCAGCCACCACAGAAGCACCAGTCTGTACTGGATACAGAACCTGGGGAGCGTTGTCATTCTCATCTTGGATTATAATGTCCAAAGTCACATTAGTGCTGAGGGGCGGAGCACCTCCATCTTGCGCTTTCACACAAACACGAACACTTTTAATTTGCTCGTAGTCAAAACCGCGCAGTGCGTGAACCACTCCACTGTCAGCATTTACTGATATAAAAGAGGAAACAGGGGAGCCACCCACTGTAGTCTCATCTAGAAGATACGAAATACGAGCGTTCTGGTTCCAGTCATCATCTTTAGCACTCAGAGTAAATATGGACAAACCAGGTTGATTGTTTTCAGTAACATATGTAGTGTAAACACTCTTTTGAAACCTGGGTGGATTGTCATTAACATCTGATACTTTCAGAATTAAAGTTTTCTGACTAGAAAGCGCAGGAGACCCTGAATCTGTAGCTGTGATAGTGATATTATATTCTGCCACACGTTCACGATCTAAAGCAGCATCAGTGACTAAAGTGTAATAATTCCGCAGTGAGGACTGTAGTTTAAATGGAGTATTTCGATCAACTGTACAGGCAACGTGGCCATTTTCTCCTGCATCTAGATCTTTGACACTGAAAATAGCGATAGTGGTGCCAGCATGTGCGTCTTCACTCACTGAGCTTGAAAATGACATAACACTAATAACGGGTGCATTGTCATTTACATCAATTAAATCAACTATGACTTTAGCAGAATTTCCTAAACCACCCTGATCTTTTGCCTCGATGCCAATTTCGTATTTTTTTGATTTTTCAAAGTCAAGCACCCCAATTAGAGTAATAGCACCTGATTTTTCATCTATTTCAAACACTTCATTTATGTTTCCTTTCAAATTAGCAAAACTATATGAAATCAAACTATACATTCCACTATCTGCATCACTTGCGTTAACAGTTGTAATGTAAGTTCCTTTAGGCGCATTTTCCGCTATTGTTGCCTTATAAACTGATTGGTTGAATACTGGTGCGTTGTCATTTGCATCTAGTACATTCACCTCTATTTTCATATTACCAGATCTCTGAGGGTTTCCTCCGTCGACTGCTGTGAGAATGAGAGACAGTCGTGGATGCTGCTCTCTGTCTAGGGGTTTCTGAAGCACCATTTCAGCATATTTAACTCCATCGGGGCGCGAGTGTTGTTTCAGAATAAAATTATCATTGGTTGACATAATATAATTTTGTAGAGCATGCACACCTACATCAGGATCATCTGCGCTTCCCAGTAAGAAACGTGCCCCAGGCGTGGCCGATTCACTTATTTCAAGATTAATTTCGTCCTTAGCAAATATTGGCGAGTGATCGTTTACATCCAGTATTTCTACCGTAACATGATGTAGTTCCATTGGATTATCAAGTATTATTTCAAATGTGAAGCTGCACGGAGTGGTTTCAGCGCAAAGCTGCTCTCGGTCAATCCTTTCTTTTACAACCAAAATCCCTTTGTCTGATTTCAGCTCTACGTACTCAGTGCTGTCGCCAGACACGATACGAGCCCGACCCGAGCGCAGCCTTTGAACATCCAGACCAAGATCATGAGCTATATTTCCAATCAGCGACCCTTTCTTCATTTCCTCTGGAACGGAGTAACGAATCTGTGCGTTTATGAGGCGGGGATCCTCCATCTCGAGCTGTCACGTTAAAAGCAAATGATTTTAACTTTTCAAAATCAAATGATTTAACTGCATGAATAGTGCCAGTATGTGAATCTACAGATACTAGAGAACTTGATGGTGCACCGCGCATGTCTTCGTCCTTTAGGAAGTAGGACAATTGCGCATTGGAACCCCAGTCAGCATCATTTGATTTAACAGTCAGTATAGTGAGACCAAGATAATTATTTTCACTAACGAATGTTTTGTATTCCTCAAACTCGAAGATTGGCGGATTGTCATTGACATCAGATATTTTTACATTAAGTGTTTTGTTTGCGTGGCGCGCAGGACTTCCTTCGTCTGATACCAAGATTGTTACATTATATTCAGCTAGGCTTTCTCGATCAAGAATATCATCAGTAACTAAACTATAATATTCCGCGAGAGATGACTCCATTTTAAAAGGTATGTTTTGATTTATTGAGCACTGAACAAGACCGTTTTTACCAGAATCTGCGTCCTCTACGTTAATGACGGCTACAGTTGTTCCCACTGGGGAATTTTCAGGAAGAGTGTTTGAGAACGACATCAGCTGTATGGTTGGAGAGTTGTCATTCTCATCAATTACATCTATAACAATTTTACAAGTATCTGAGAAGCCTCCTTTGTCCCTCGCATTTATATTTAATTGATATCTATTCTGAGATTCATAATCTAAATTATTAAGAAGTCTAATCTCACCTGTATCTGTGTTTATCCCAAAAAGCTCACTTGCTTCTTTGCTTGCAACAGCGAAGGAATAGGAAACATGGCCATTTACACCTTCGTCAGCATCAGCAGCACTAATGGTACCTATGACAGTACCAGCAGGTGAATTTTCTCTAACTTCAGTTTTAAATACTGACTGTTTACACACTGGGGCATTATCATTGGCATCCAGAACAGTAACGTGAATTTTTACAGTGCCTGATTTCTGAGGTGATCCACCATCATTTGCCACAAGAACCAATTGAATCTCATCGCGCTCTTCTCGGTCTAGTTCTCGTTTTAAAACCATCTCAATGTATTTGTTGCCATCGGTCTGACTATGAACCTCCAGTTTAAAACTATCAGTTGGATGTAGTTTATAGCTCTGTATACCATTTAGACCTACATCTGTATCTATAGCGCTGTCTAAAGGAAAGCGAGCTCCTAAAACCGCATTTTCAGCTATGTTCAAATTAACATTTTCTTTCGGAAATAACGGTGCATTATCGTTTATATCTTGCACCTCAACTGTGACTCGATGGAGCTGGATAGGGTTTTCAACGATAAGATCAAAGCTGAAGCTGCAAGGCGACGTCTTCTTACATAGCTCCTCGCGATCTATCCTTTCTTTAACTACTAGAGTCCCTTTGTCTCTGCTCAGATCGACATACTGTCGTCCGCCCTTTGTAACGACGCGAGCTTTTCCAGATATGAGTCTACTTATCTCTATCCCCAGATCCTTGGCGATGTTTCCAACGAATGATCCCTCTGGCGTTTCCTCCAGGATGGAATATCTCGCATTGCAATATATGACGTCCACTCCGTAAAAGCAGAGAATGAAAAACACAACCTTCCATTTTGAGTGTGCGGAAACCATCCATGGATTGTGTAAATTGCTCGATAACCTTAAGAAAACCATCCTGAGAAGCTGTGTTGTCAAACGAAGAGTGGAACAAGAAAAGCCATTAAAATCCTAAATCCGCAATAAAGCATTAATGTTCTTTCCATCGGAAAAAAACGCTGCATTTGCCCAACCTACAAACACGTCAGTAAGTGACTGGCAATACAGACTACTGAGCAAAGAAGCGCTCTACTCAGATGTTAATCAACAGCGGCACTCAGAGCTTTAAAGACGCAAATACAAGACCAACAGCCTCAATGCTACTGTTACAAGCCAAAATTATGACATCAATACCACAAGAAGAAGAAGAAGAAGAAGAAGAAGAAGAAGAAGAAGAAGAAGAAGAAGAAGAAGAAGAAGAAGAAACTGCCTTATGTGAGACAGGCAGTTTAAGTCAG